GTGTTAAAAGTGTATTAAACGTTTTTCGCACAGTGGGCGATGGCACTGGGAATGGTACTTTATTGGAAGAAAATTTGAAATTGTTTTATAAATCCACACTTTCTGGTTACGAAACTCCTTTTGAAAATCCACCATTTAATCAACGATTGTATGTTAGTTGGTTGGAAAGCCCCTTTAAAATGGAGAATTTTCGGTCGGGAAACCCTTGTAAAATCCGTATATTCTGAACTGGAGGTGCTAAAAAAACCAAAACATTTGGCCAGAAGTCGTTGAAAAATATTATTGAAAAAATTACAATTATCTGTCTCAATACCTCAAGGGATTCGGCCAAATGGTATTACATCTACAAAAACTTTAGCGTATCGTACAGACTGTAGAGTTTTCTTGCGTGTTTATATTTGGGTTTATTCAATAAAAATATAATGACATTCAGAGTTAGATCATCACGTATAGTCCCTTATGGAATTTGAGATGTTTAGAAATTTAGAAGTGTTTGGAGATATAGCCCCCATAATAGCATTTTACCGAATTTCGCTTGAAATATCGGGTTAGGTGATTTTTATATAAGATATTTAAAATTTATTTATTTTGTCGTCGCACTAAACCTATTATTATTAAAAATAGCAGAATGTTCCATGTTCCAAAATACAATATCAAATATGGTAAGGAAGGGAATATCATGGTTTCGAAAAGAGGATATTCTCCCTAGGAGTCATTTAAAATAATTCCTACTGAAAAATATTCACATTTTCATTAGCATCTTTTAACTCGATTTTTCTTGATGTTATTCTTTTCAGCCAAAAAGGCTGAATTGGTGAGAATTGTCCTATTTTTTGACCAGAATGGTCTAAAATTTATCCCTTCAAAATCCAGTCTGATTTTTTGGAACACCAAATTTTTATAAAAAGTCTTTAAAAACAAATACATTTAATTTCCGAAATCCATGATTATTAGGTTCAAAAATCTTTAAAATCCGCGAATGAAAATCCTTAAAATGTTCCTGCAATATCCACGAATTCTTGAGCATGAAGTCTGTAAAAAAATTTAAAAATTCACGATTTCACTATTATAAAAAATACAATAAACAAAACATAAAATTCATTTGAGAGATCTTAAAAATATTCTTCGAAAATATATGATATTTGATCAGGAGATTCTTGAAGAAATAATCAAATGACGGGGAATAATTTTGTCAAGAATTTATTCCACAATTTTTAAACTATTCATTCATTTAATTTTTTTTAATCGATGATTTCTGGTCCAAATCTGTCCAGCCGTTCTTGAGCTATAAGCGGTCTAACTAATATCCTTTTCTTTGATAGATGAGTTTGTATACACTTTTCTATATATTATATACCAGTAAGGAAAAGTCAAAAATCGGGCAGGGTCGACCGATAACCTACACCACTATGCATATGTAGTAGAGCTCCCGTAACAAAAGTATTTCCGAGCTCTATATGATACCTGGTACCAAATATAATTGTTGTCGAACGCATATTACGAATTTGAGGGACTTAAACACCAAATCGGATGAAACATATATATGGGAACTATAGCTGTGTCTGAGAAAATTTGATGTACTTGCTTCTAGACTGAATTCGGTCGGATGTAGAGCTCCCGTAACAAAAGTATTTCCGAGCTTTCAGGTCTTTTTGACAGATATTGGCCATTTACGAATTAACCCGAAATCGGTTGAAGATATATATGAGACCTATATTCAAATCAAAACCGATCTTTATAAAATGAGGCAGATATATTTCCGAGCTCGATAAGATATCTTTGTACCAAAGATCATTGTAGTCTAATGCATATTACGAATTTGAGGGACTTAAACACCAAATCGGATGAAACATATATATCGGACCGAAATCTGTTTAAGGTATATAGCTATATCCAAATCTGACCCGATTTTGGTAAAATTTGGCAGATGTATTTCTGGGCTGTATCTGATAACTGGTACCAAATATCATTGTTGTCAAATGCATATTACGAACGTGAGGGACTTAAACATCAAATTTGATTTTCTTGCTTCTAGACTGAATTCGTTGTGATGTACCATTATATTAGCCAATTGGTGCAATTAACCCGAAATCGGTTGAAGATATATGGGAGTTATATACAAATCTGATCCGATTATAACAAATTTCAATAGGGTTCGTCCTTGGGCCAAACGAATAATGTCTGCAAAATGGGATAATAAATGCGACCTGAATTTTGTTCACAAGAATACATGGACGGATGGACTGACATGCATAAATCGACTCAGAAAGTGATTCTATGAAGATCCTCATAAGTAACTATGGGTCTATCTCGCTTCATTCTCCCTGTTACAAATAAATGCATAAAGACATAATACCCTTACCACTATGTGGAAGGGTATAAATATATATTTCTTTAATTAATAACTTTTAGCATGAAGTGCACCGTGCTACCAGTCATTTAAATACCACTGAGATGTTCCCTTAAGGACTCATAAATATGCACCCCACTGTAAAACCTCTTCGCTGGGAGAAAACACACGAAGAATTAGTATCCACGTCATGCAAAGAACGGTGAACGAATAAATCTGCTAATATTTAATAAAAAGATAATGTCGCAGATGCACACCCACACATACACGCGCACACTTCGATAACCTTTCGCGGCCAGCTGAGGGCGGCAAAGTTTATTGGACAAAGAAAAGTGGCACCTTTTTTAATTAAAACAAATATGTAATTGCAAAAGTGAGAAAATATTTAAAGTATTTCTAGCGAAATGTGCCGCCAATGGGTCGGTCTTCTTTTTAAGGCTGTGGAAAACTATTGTTTTCTCTTGGGTTTCATATAAGAAATAGGTATAAAATCGTTTGGAGATTTTAGTGCCTAATGATAGGAGTCTGAAGTTATAGGAAAAAACAAGTAAGCAAAGGCTACATTCGAGCGGGGCCGACCGTTGAATACCCTACAACACTATAATAAATGATACAGTTTATATAGGCGAGATACTCGAAAGAATTCCACAAGATATTGTGACAAATAATAAAAGAAAACCATCAGGTTTCGTTCTCTAACTAACCTTAACTAATTTGCTCATTTCCAATTTATTGGTAGATGTTGCACTTAAATGGTCTTCCTAGATCTGGAACCAATATTTCCCAAAGACCTATAATCTCTCAGAAGTGGCAAAAGATTAACATTTATTATTGGTTTTTTACTGAAACGCATCTATATGAGATACAGACATTTGACTATATTCTTCAACGAAATCAGCCTTAACGAAATAGTCAGAAGTGCGTCTTTCCTGTATTTGTGAATTCTCCAAAAAGTCACTGGAATGGACAATTTCGTATTTTGTCTACAAAAGTTGGCAAACTATTTCGCACATTGAATATTTTTGGATGGCCATCCAAAACTGCTTGGCTTTTGCAATGTCCGGCAACCCCCATTCAAATGTGCGTGAGGATCGGGCGATAATTACAACCTGCTGACAATTTTGCAGTTTTTTTGGAACATTTCAACCCCTAAATATATTGCGATCATCTCAAAAAAGAGTAGGCTTCTATTCTGACACTCATTTTATACCCATGCAAAATTTCGTAAGGATCGGCCCATAAATGCGATCTGTATATGATATCCTGATATCCTAACTACTTAGTTTTGTTAGCTGTAGAAATATTACCAAATGTTTAATTCAAAATGAAAATATGCCAAAAATATGACAAAATTGAAAAAAATATGAGAAAATGTTACAAAACCAAAATTTTCATCTTTAGAGAGATATTTTTATGCGATTTGTAGACGTTTTTTCTTTCCTGCCAAGAGGCAACTCTGAATTAATGAGAAATGTCGAAATCAGTTCAGCCGTTCTCGGCATATAAGAGATCTTTCAAGCATATCTTCTTTGATAGACATATATATCGCACATATTTTGCTATATATCCGATTTGTTGGATGTTAACATCAATGTAAAGGTCAGAAGTAACCTTGTCATGGCTTTGTGATTTCGCCGGGATTTAAAATATTCGCGGTTTAATGAAAAATTTTGAATTTTTTCAACAAAAAAGATATGGTCTATTTTAGCCGCTAAATATTATCCGATGACCACCCAAATTGGTAGGCTTCTTCCCCGCCCTAAACTCTAGCTACATGCGAAATTCCGCGTCGATTGGTCTATAATTGCGACCTGTATAGCTACTGCAAAATCCGACATTTTTTCAGTACTTGGTCCATTTCAACCCCTAAACATATGGCGATCATCTCCAAAAGAAATAGGCTTCTATTCTGATACTAACCCAACCTTCATGCAAAATTTCGTAAGGATCGGGCCATAATTGCGACCTGTAGCGTGATTACAAATTAACACGGACAGACGGACAGACGGACGGACATACATAGCTAGATCGACTCAGCTCGGCGAGCTAGGAAGATCCATATATACTTTCCTATGTGGGAAACCAATATTTCGAAGTGTTACATAAATTCTGGCCCAATCAATCTTATAATACCCCCAACACATAGTGTTGTAGGGTATAAAAATAATATAGAATGGATATTGTCTTTAACTGACCTGAAATCGATAAATTCCTTATTTAAAAATATTATTGTTCAATATTCCTCTATTGAGCTATTGCTCTCATTTCAATGCCAAGTTGATTCCCCATTCTTTGGAAAAATTCAAATGAAGCTTTCAATATTAATAATGTAATTATTAATTTTCTCTTCTTCGAATGCATTCTTCCAATGACATCCTTGGCATTTTTTACACTTTGCATTCTCCTGTCCCCTCTCCTTACCCCTCCCCACACCAACAATTAGCACTTCCTAATAAAATGTATTCATTACCAATCAACATTTCAACACCAATTCCAATTATTATTGGAATTTCTTAAGAATTCCTAATCGAAAAAAATATGAAAAAGAATATATCTAATCGTGAGGAATGGGAGAAAAAAGAAATGCAAATTAACCGGGTGCACATTCATTGGCGCCGCCGCCCATTCTTAATTCTTGAGAATTGCTTACCGTTTTAAGCGAGATTTTTTCTCGTCTTCTTCGGCTGCCTTTGAATGCTTTCCGGCTGCTTTAATTGAAATCCAAAACACTTTGTAAGTTAGTCCATGAATGGCTGAATGGATGGATAATCTCCTTCAGTTGCAAGACGAGGTGAGGAGAGGAAATTTATTTGATTTTCAGACAATTTCATATACGTTACGTCGCAGATGTTGTTGTTGTTGTTGCTATAGCTGATGCAGCTACGTTGTAGTTGCCGATGATGCTGTGGCTGGCTGGCTGCTTTTCTGCTGGTTAGTAGATCTCTTTATTAAATCAGTACAAAATTTAATTCATATTCTTTGGATACACAGCCAGACCGACCGATACACACACACACACTATCGCGGTCACCGGTCACTGTTCACTGTAATTCATTCACTGCGGCTGGGGGCGATGATTTTTATGCACTTTTTTTCTTTCTTATTAGTTATTCCTTTTTTGATATCTTTTCGTTAGCTCTGCTTTGCTCTTCGTTTGAGGTTGTTGTCGTTTTGTTTTTCTTTTTTTTTCTCGTTTAGTTTGGTGAATTTAATTCAATTTTCTGTAATTTATATAATAAAGCGAATAAAGAAAATTTATTTACTCCTCAAGTGTGTGGACGTAGTTGTGATGCATTTTATTGTCATGAGGGTTGGCGGTGTATATATTAGGGCGAGAAACTAATCCGCAGAGGTACATGTTAGAAATCGGTAGTTGCTGAGTGTTTTAAAAGTTGTAATTTTCATTGACATGTAATATTAAAAAACCACAATTTTTGGCCACGTATTTTTTATACCCTACAACACTATGTGTTGGGGGTATTATAAGTTTGATTGGGCCAAAAATTATGTAACACCTCGAAATATGGATTTCCCACATAGGAAAGTATATATGGATCTTCCTATCTCGCCGAGTTGAGTCGATCTGGGGCTAGGGTCAGAATAGAACCATATTTCTTTCGCATAATATTTAGGGGTCGAAATGGACCAAAAGCTGAAAAAATGTCGGATTTTGCAGTAGCTATACAGGTCGCAATTATAGACCAATCGACGCGGAACTTCGCATGTAGCTAGAGTTTAGGGCGGGGAAGAAGCCTACCAATTTGGGTGGTCATCGGATAATATTTAGCGGGTAAAATAGACCATATCTTTTGTGTTGAAAAAATTCAAAATTTTTCATTAAACCGCGAATATTTTAAATCCCGGCAAAATCACAAAGCCTTGACAAGGTTACTTCTGATCTTTACATTGATGTTAACATCCAACAAAACGGATATATAGCAAAATATGTGCGATATATATGTCTATCAAAGAAGATATGCCTAAAAGATCTCTTATATGTCGAGAACGGCTGAACTGATTTCGACAGTTCTCATTAATTCAGAATGGCCTCTTGGCAGGAAAGAAAAACCGGCTAAAAAATCGCATAAAAATATCTCTCTAAAAATTAAAATATTGATTTTGTAAAATTTTCTCAAATTTTTTTCAATTTTGTCACATTTTTGGCATATTTTCATTTTGAATTAAACATTTCTACAGCTAACAAAACTAAGTAGTTAGGATATCAGGATATCATATACAGATCGCATTTATATGGCCCGATCCTTACGAAATTTTGCATGGGGATAAGATGAGGGTCAGAATAGAAGCCTACTCTTTTTGGAGATGATCGCCATATATTTAGGGGTTGAAATGGACAAAAAAAACTGCAGAATTGTCGGCAGGTCGTAATTATCGCCCGATCCTCACGCACATTGAATGGGGATTACCGGGCATTGCAAAAGCCAAGCAGTTTTGGATGGCCATCCAATAATATTCAATGTGTGAAATAGTTTGCCAACTTTTGTAGACAAGATACGAAAATGACCATTCCAGTGACTTTTGGAGAATTCACAAATACAGGAAAGACACACTTCTGACTATTTCGTTAACGCCGATTTCGTTGAAGAATATAGTCAAATGTCTGTATCTCATATAGATGCATTACAGTCAAAAACCAATAATAAATGTTAATCTTTTGAAACTTCTGAGAGATTATAGGTCTTTGGGAAATATTGGTTCCAGATCTAGGAAGACCATTTAAGTGCAACATCTATCACTAAATTGGAAATGAGTAAATTAGTTTAAGTTGCTATTATTCGAAAATTAGAGAACGAAACCTGATGGTTTTCTTTTATTATTTGTCACAATATCTTGTGGAATTCTTTCGAGTATCTCGCCTATATAAACTGTATCTTTTATTATAGTGTTGTAGGGTATTCAACGGTCGGCCCCGCTCGACTGTAGCCTTTGCTTACCTGTTTTATTTACTATTTTTGGCCAGAATGGTCTAAAATATGTCCCTTCAAAATCCAGTCAGATTTTGTTGCAGCACCGAATTTTTACAAAAAAAAAAAAAAAAAAAAAAAAAAACTTAAAAGCAAAGAAAACTAATTTCACAATGCATATTCAGTACGGCTCCCGTAACAAAATAATTTATTTGAAGTAGATCGTACCACCAATTAACATTTAGCTTTAGACAGCTATACTTTCATTTCAGAGGGAACTAATAGATGGAAGGCATATCCAATTCTAAAACGATTTTCACTAAATTTGACAGAGTTACTTTTTTTCTTTTATACCAAATAACATTATATCTTAAAATTATGTCATGCATGATATAACTTCGAGAAGGATTGTATTAAAAATATATATAGGAGCCGAGTTCTACCTAATGAAAACGTGCGTCCCGAGATTCACTACATTCAGGCTAATATTTGCCTGAAACCGGATTAAGGATATATATGGGAGCTATATCCAAATCTTAACCGATCTCGGTACATAAATATGGAATCTATAGCTATATCTGAATCGATTTTCTCCAAATATTATGTGCTTGCTTCCAGACTAAATTCGGTTGGATGTAAAAAACCAAAAAAAAAAAAAAAAAAGGTAAAGTAAGTCTTAAAGTCGGGCGGGGCCGACTTTGTGATACCCTACACCACTTTGCTAATTTAGTAGAGCTGCGCATAACAATTAAAAGTTTTTATGGGAGAATTCCATCATACACGCTATGATTATAATTTAAAATTCAAAGGACTAAATATGCCGAAGCATTTGTATCTTTTAAATTCGGAATTGTATTGCACATTTGGTGCACAATTAATTTGAAATCGGATAAAAATATATATGAGAGCTATATCCAAATCTGAACCGATCTCGATAAAATTTGGCAAAGATATTTCTGAGCTGTATTTGATATATTTCCCTGAATATCGTTGTTACGGAGTGCATATTACGGTTGTGGTTAACAAATACAATAAATCGGATGAACAATATATATGGAAGCTATAGCTATATCTGAACCGATCTTCACCAAATTTGACATACTAGCTTCTAGACTCAATTCGGTCGTAAATGCCAAATTCCATCCCATTTGGACAAATATTACACGTTTGGTGCACAATAAAAAGTAAATCGGACGAAGTTATATATGGGAGCTATATCCAAATCTGAACCGATCTCGATAAAATTTCGCAAGTGTATTTCTGAGCTGTATTTGATATATTTCCCCAAATATTGTTGTTGCATAGTGCATATTACGGCGGCGGTGGACAAAAATAACAAATCGGATGAACAATATATATGGGAGCTATAGCTATATCTGAACCGATTTCGATCAAATTTGGCGTACATATTTTCAGGCCTAATTTGGGTGTATGTGCAAAATTCCATACAATTCGGGCTGATATTACACGTTTGGTGCACAATAAAAGGCAAATCGGACGAATATATATATGGGAGCTATATCTAAATTTTGACCGATTATCTCCAATTTCAATAGGGTTCGTCCTTGGGCCAAACAAAAGATCTTTGCAAAATTTCATCTAGATCGGGCAATAAATGCGACCTGTACTTTGTTTACAAAAATACATGGACAGACGGACAGACGGACGGACGGACATGCATAAATCGACTCAGAATGTAATTCTATGCAGATCATCAAAAGGAACTATGGATCTATCTCGTTTCCTTCTGCCTATTACAAACAAATGCACAAAGACATAATACCCTGACCACCTTGTGGTGTAGGGTATAAAAAACGAACCAAAAACCAACCCTTTGGGCAGATATTGGTCATTTAGTGTACAATTAACCCGAAACCGAAACTGAAGAAATATATGGGACCTACATCCAAATCTGAACTGATCTTGATAAAATTTAGCAGAGGTATTTCCGAGCTCTATAAAATATCTGGTACCAAATATCATTTTTGTCGAATGCATATTGCTAATGTGAGGGACTTAAATACCAAATAGGATGAAACCTATATATGAGAGCTATAGATATATCTGAAACGATTTTCTCCGAATTCGATGTACTTGTTTCTAAATTGAATTCAGTCGGATGTACCAAAATTCAGGACTTTTTGATTGATATGGGCCAATTGATCCGAAAACGGCTGAACTTATATATTTGTCAGAGGTATTTCCGAGCTCTATAAGATATCTGGTACCAAATATCATGCTCCATAGAGAGTCAACAGTTTGAATAATCATAACAGAAGTCAAAATATGTTTGAATAATCGAACATCTGTCGGCAAAACCGACCATAGTATGGAGGCTATATTAAGTTTATCATTCTTGATCAGCATGAAATTCCGTCCTTCTATCTGTCTGTGGAAATCACTCTAGCTTCGGAACTAAATGAAGGAGATTGATGAAATTTTACTCAAATGTATATTATGTCTGCAGGACTTTTGGTATGGTCGTCATGTAGGTCCACGTTTTGGTATAGCCCCATATAACGGCACCTCCCGATATTTGGTATTTTGATGATTTTAGCGACATTATTCAGCGGAATAATTTGGCATTTGAAGTTCGTAATGGATACTATAGCCTATGACAGAAAATTGTCTGTGCAGGTCCATATTTGGTACTTTGATGGTTTTATCCACATTATTCACCGAAATTGTTTCAAGTTTGGCATTTGAAGTTCATATTGAATACTACAGTCTTCGTATAGCCCTCATATAACGGTACCTCCCAATGTTCGGTACATTGATGATTTCGTCGACATTATTCACCGGAATTGTTTTAATTTTGGTATTTGAAGTTCATAATAGCCTATGACAGAAAATTGTCTGTGCAGGTCCACGTTTTGGTGTAGCCCCCATATAATAGTATCTTCCTAAATTCGGTATTTCGATGATTTTTTTCAAGTTTCGAATGTTGTAATGGCTTATGACAAAAGTTTCCTATGCAGGTCCACACCGTCGTATAGACTTTAATATAACGGCTACATTCGCTATTTCTAAGATTATAACAGAATTTTTATTATTTAATTTTTATACCCTACACCACAAGGTGGTTAGGGTATTATGTCTTTGTGCATTTGTTTGTAACAGGCAAAAGGAAACGAGATAGACCCATAGTTCCTTTTGATGATCTGCATAGAATCACTTTCTGAGTTGATTTATGCATGTCAGTCCGTCCGTCCGTCCGTCTGTCCGTCTGTCCATGTATTCTTGTGAACAAAATGCAGGTCGCATTTATTATCCGATTGAGATGAAATTTTTCACAA